CTATAAACATCAAAAGAACTAAAACTCAAAACACTGGGTCATAAGACCCAGGATCGTGACATTTAGGGGGTTAAGACACCGATAGATTAATAAAGTTCTTATAATGAGGTTGTCTGGGGTGGTGGAAGGATAAAATTAAATTATAGGATAATAATGTGTTAGATTTATGACATACCTACCTACAATGCACCGTGATGGCCACCTCCCTACAAAAGTAACAGCAGGAATACAGCTGAGTTAATCGATTATTGGTTCATTTAGGTTTATAAAGTTTATAAAGATTGCTATTTTTTGCAGTTAGTGTCTGCCTAGCACACATGGACATCACCAAATGCTCCATTTCCTCCCCTGAGATGCTGAGCTAGGCGTTTACTGCAGCTGCCTTCATTTTCTGCTTGGTTGTGGGTCTCTTTGCATTCAATGTTTTCTTAAGTACCTGAAAAGCATGCTCTGTTGGGTTGAGAAAAGGGGAAGGACTAGGCCACTGATTAATATCCAAATTATTTGCCCTGAAAACAATCTTGCTTTTGCAGAACACTTTGGCTCATTATCCATTTGGACTGTGAAGGAATTTGCAATTAATTTAGCAACATTTGGCTGAATCTGAGTGCACACCTGTACACCTAAACATTCAGCTTACTACTTATATCATCATCATAATCAAGAAACACCAGACCCATGCCATAACATTGCCTTCACCATGTTTGACAGATGATGTGGTATTGTTTAGAAGGGTTAAAGAAATCTGAGCTGGCAGCAATCACTTCAGAGTGTCGGGTCAGAACACTTGCAAATGTTCAGATGTGAGAGGAACAAACAGGCAGAGTCCAGGAATAAAGTTGTCATTCTTTGTATTTCCAATTGAGAATGTGCCCGCAGCTGGGCGTGAGTGTGTGTGTGTGGTTTCTGTAGACAAAGCATAATGATACAAATCAAATTACATAATAAACATAAAGATACAACTGAGGTGTACTCAAGTACAGTATATAACTAAATAAGCTGACATTATACTTCAGACTGGTTACATAAACTTAAAATCAGACATTATGCATTAACACACCGCATACAACTATGCACTGGAGGCAATTTTACATTGGGTTATCATTTGTTACACAGAGCACAGAATCAACAACACGATAACAACGAATCTCTCTGCTAGAAGCTAATTAGCGAACAAATCTGTTATGCTAGCGAACTGCCACTTGTACATAACGTCACTTAAACAGAACCAGAAACTGCTGGTAAGTCATCAAATACACTCATGGCTGAACACCAACATAACTGAGTGAAGTAAACATTAACTTACAGTCTTATGAACGCACACACTGCGCGTTGTTCGGCTGCCGTTTGTCTCTGAACTGAAGTTGCGGACATGCACACCGATGGTGCATTCAGGGGGCATAGGAAATCCCATACACAAACCTAACCCTTTTGTACAGGTATTCTTCAAGCTAAGGCCTATTTCTCTCCGTCTACAAACTTTTCTCTTCCAATTATTCTGGTAGAAGAGCCTCTGTTTGTTGTTTTTGAAGTATTAATGAGCTCAGCTGTACATTTCACTGCAACTCTTGGTTTTTAGCTGGAGCACTGAATGACTTTCATGCCTGAAGCTTCCCAGCTAGATGGTTTTCATGTAAGCAAAAGCAAAAACTTGTAATTTCCTGTTCTGCCACAAATTCTTACGCATAAGAGAGACTTTTCATTTGAAGTTTTGCTGCTGTCCATCTGTTGCCAACTCACTGAGCTCGATCTCTGTGACACTCGGAGAGCCTGAGCACGGGGGCAAAATTATGCACGACACCCGTCCATCAGCAAGCTCACCTCCACATCATATTCTTGCACCCCCTGTTATCTTCCCTCCCTCCCTCTGTCTCACACACAGTCACCGTTGTCTTTTTCTGCAGATGTGGATGAGTGCGTGACCGGTGCCCACAGTTGCAAGCCCAGCCAGCGCTGTGTGAACACAGTGGGTTCATTTGTGTGCGAGCTGCAGGTCACTTGTCCTGCTGGTTACCAGCTGCGGAACAGTCTTTGCGAGGGTGAGTTCATTGATGCTGATGTGTTTCATTAAACCAATTTACCCAGCAGTCATTTCCAGAGCCTCTGAAATAGCTGGTGGAAATGATGTCTTCTTCAATATAATATGCAGGATTTTTATTTTTTTATTTTCAGGATGATTTGGTTTTGTAAAAACAAAAGCAAGGACAGTGATATAAAAGCAAAATCACTTGACTCAGCTGTCTTAACTAATTATAGACCAATCTCAATCTTCTTTTTATGAACAAGATCATCTGCAGAGGAATTGGTTTATTTCACCGCTCAGAATTCATCATAGTGCAGAAACAGCACCAGTGAAGGCTACAAATGCTCTTCCCATGGTATCTGATCACTATGTATGTGATAACTATATTTTACTACAGAGATAAGACCTCTCTGTATTAAAGGTATTAAAGGTACGGCACTGCAGTGATTTGTATCATATCTGTTTAATAGACTCCAATTTGTTCATGTAAACGGGGAGTCTTCCTCTCACGCTAAGGTTAATCACAGAATTCCACAGGGTTCAATGTTGAGAGCAATATTTACATTATACATGCTTCCCTTAGGCAGTATTATTGGAAGGCATACATTTTCAGTGCCATTCAGATGACCTCTAATTTCCTGCTTCTAAATTCAGATAAAACTGAGATTGTTGTACTCAGCCACGCAATCAGGTGCCATCTTAAAGACCTCATAGTATCATATCACACCAATACAGCACTTTGCTCTCAGACTGCTGGTTTACTGCTGGTTCCTGGGGTATTTTAAAAGTAGATGGGCAGGGCCTGCAGCTTTCGGACCCCCCTTCTGTAGAATAAGTTCCTAGCTTGCATTTGGGAGTCAGACAAGATTAAGTTTACAGTAAAACTTTCCTTTGGAATAAAGTCTACAGTTAGAGCTGGCTCCGATGATCTGGAACCACCCCTTAGTTCTGCTGCAATAGGCCCAGGCTGCTGAGAGCTTGATGCACTCAGCATCTCTCATTTCTTTTCACTTAGCAGCTACACATCAAGAATACAACAATAAAGCAAGTGCTGTAGCCATTTACAAGCACGAACAACAAAAAGCAATGGAGTTTTACTAAAGAAAATGCTTTGTTTAAACTAACATCGGTGAGCCATATTTCTTATACTTTAATGTAGTTATTGTGAAGCTGTAGAAATTTCAGCATCAGTGTCATATATTTAATAAAGGCTTGTGTACAGAGGCTGCCAGAAACTGCCTTGTGTATAGGGAGTCAGCTTCATTTAAACATTCAATTATGAGACACTAAAAATAAAAATTACACAAAGAGAAAGTTACAGGAATCTAATTACAGATGTGCAGAAAATAATTTTGACATTTTGAATATTAACGATACTCCATTTAAACATTTCATCGAACACATATTTGTGTGTGTCAAGGTATAGCTGCTGTCTTCATATTGTGAGATTACCTCTGGTGTAATTCCACATCTTGGCACTCACCTTTGGCTGGGGTTCGTGTTTGTGTTGGAGTGTGGGACTCACTGTTGCCACTTTTTTAGAAATTTTAAGAAGTCCAGAAACAAGAAGCAAGCAAGTCCAGCATGCTGGTTCAAACTGAGGCAGTATATCATTGATTCACACACAAGCCCTTCTGGTCCTATTGTTTGTCACCTCCTCCTCTCTACTGATCTTTTTAGCGGTATTACTGAAAACACATATTATTGGAAATCCTTTGGGGGTCATAAATCCATGAATACAAGACTGCAGTGTACTGTAGTGCATCATTATTAATGCAATAGGTGCTGCTGCTGTTGTACTGTCCTAGATTCTTGTTTCCTCACTTATTTAGATCAAATTAACACTAGTGATGTAGAAATATGCAAAAATCATTTTCACTGCAACATTCCTGCCATACTTTGTCAACTGCATCTTAAAGGAGACTAAATACATTCACTGAGCATTAGTCACATTGGTATGCAGCATATACTCACAGACAGTGTGCAAGCCTGCATCAACCAAAATAATTACAAGATATACACAAGACTGACGGTAGCGTTATGTTGTATTTTATGTATTCTATGTTGTGTATGTTGGACAACAGCCTGTCTAAACTGAATAATACCACACCCCTAATTTGGCTGTTGTTTTTATTGTCCTTCATTAGCTCGTATAGCGTTAGCTAGCTAGCTCTAA